ACCACTTTAAATATTTCAAACTACTTTTAATTAAAACTGAAATCAATTAAAATGCAAATGCTAACTAAAAACGTGGTAAAACAGTCTCAATCTTCATTATGAACAAATCCTCTTACATGTGCACACTGGTGCGGATAAATGAGCATGCCACACACACTATAAACAAAGGATACAAAACTACGTATTACGTAGAGATATCCTTTCAGTACAAAAGGGACAAAACGGAACAAGTATGAATTCTATACCAATTAATTTACTGAGTAGATGATTTTCGAAGTTAATTGCTATACTAAACATCTCTGGCATACAAAATAATTTTATGGAACAACATAAAGGACAATGTGCCATTGATTAAAAGTGTTGATTAAAAATCTAGAAAATACTTTAAACTCACTTGCGTGACTTAACATCATTTGCATATAACGTTTTGCATTTAAAAAATAAATAAATATAGTAGTAAAAAGCACATGTTTGACATGAATCCTTAATTATTATAGCAATTCGCGAATCCGTATAAATAAATAAATAAATAATTTTGAAATATTTATTTTTAAAATTTACTACTTTACATAAAAACAGATTACAACCAATAACATTCATTACAAATTTTATAGGCTAGTAATTGATATTTATTTAAACAGTATTTACTGAATAATTTAAAGGTATCATTAATATTAGCAAAAATAAATACATTTTGATTACTTCGCTGTTTATTTTAACTGCAGTCAATTTTGGTGTAAATTACAACTAAATGTTTTTAATTATTTGATAATAATTATTTATTACTGAAATTCAAATCAACGTTACAATTTTAATATTCGAAGCATTTGCGAAAAATACTGAATACTTCATATCTATGTTTATTTCGAATTCTATCTAAAAACTTTTACTAAATTATTTTGCGACCAAACACATTTTAGGCTGTTGGTAGGCTTTTGACAGAACACCATGGTATGTGTCACCATCTCAACAACATAGCCTGTATGAGAACATATATCGTAAATATGTGTTTTCTTGAAAATATATGGCAACTCTAGCTACATTTTTTCTGTGCTCTCCAGTTAGGCCAGGATGATATTATTAGGCCAGAATTTTGTATAACCATTTGATATTTGGATATTTCCAAAGAACACATTCTGCCTTCATTCATATGGCTGAGTGTCTTCTATTCATTTAGGGTTGATTTTTAACATGACAAAACTATAGTGTTTCATTCAGTTATAAATGAACTCAGTAATTATTATTTCGCTGTATTTAATTGTTTTTTATACGACATAATAATAATAATAATAATAATAATAATAATAATAATAATAATAATAATAATAATAATAATAATATAGATGATAAAACTTTATTTTCCGTCCCTTATTTAATAATAACAAGTTTATTATTGCATCCATGCTGCATTGATGCACCTCCAGCTCAAAAAGTACCCGGATTTTGTAAATAAAACACAAATTTAAATTTTATTCCAAATTTATTTTATCTCCTTCAAAATATGGTCCTTTTGAAGCGTTACACATATGCCAACACTTAACCCAATACATTTATGTAGGCCCATGCATGTATGGCGTTTAGTTCCTTCGGCGAATTCTCTTATACCGTTTACCGCCTGAGCGATGACAGTGGTGCCGTGTTTGGTCAAAATATCGCGTACAAGAAGAATTTTCCATAGTAAAAATCGCTAAATGCACTTGAGGTAGTCTTGCATTAACAGCTGCTGTAAACAAACTAATTGACAGATGGCGCTCAAATTTGTACCATATGTCAAAAAAGGGTGTACCAACATAACAAAAAAAAGGTTCTATTACTTAAGGAGTAGTTAACAAACAACAAAATCCGGATACTTTTTGAGCAGGTATATGACTTTTTAATAATATTCATGTATTTTTTCACTTTGACTTTATTATCACTTTATTATCACTTTATTTTCACTAATCATAGTAATGTTCTCATTTTATATTACTAGTATACCTATATGCATTTGATGCTGATAATCAAATTTTAAATATTTTTATATATTTATAAATAGTGTTCGTTGGTTGATTGCAATGGCCGATCAGCAAATATTCTTTCAATGCCTATAACTATTTATTATTAACCATTTTAGTATCACATTCCTCGCAGGTAACCTTAAAATAATATCAACACTAAATCCATCCAGTTGAATTTACCAGATCCTTTGTTCTTTTCAACGAAAATTTTTACAAATTGTATAAAAGAACTTATTTTTAAACATGTTTCCTGAAAACCTGAAAGCCAAAGCTCGGCAGTCACAGACAACATGTTTAATTCTTTATTTTTTCTGTAAATTTCTACTACGTCAAGGCGGGATATACAGTCTGCTTTTTCATTCCATTCCTGAAGAATTTCCGCTCTACATTCCTTGAATTCCTTGGATTATAGGATAAAGAATTGAAAGATTTTAATTACCAATTGGGTGTCAATAGTTCTATTTTCATTTTTAGTGTAAATTCAGTATATTCAGTAATAAACGATGCTATAACCATGGTTTATGGAAGGATTATTCATTATACGGTTTGATTAGGCAGCACATTTTTAGTAACATATGTCGAAAAAAACTATTATCATAGTTTTATATGTTTATTTTAAGGTATTTGATTTTAAAATATGAGTCGTTTAACAATCACCAATGTTTCATAATTGTAAAAACTTTCTTTAAAAACAGTGATTCAATCATAAGCGCCTCGCATGAAATTTTATTCAGCGATGAAGCTCAGATTTTGTTTATTAATTTTACATTGTAGAATCTAATAAAACTCACTGTGTGATGTGGTATTCGATCTGGAGGTATGATAAGGCACATAATATTTTTGAATTAGTATTTTTTTAGCTTAAAATTCTGGTTTTATCAGGACGGTACCAGAAGTCACACAACACATGCTGTTTTGACTTTATTGTACGAGAATTAACCTCAGCACATAATTTCACGTTTTTATGATATGAATTAATCATCAAGATCTATTGATTTGTGACCACTAAATTTTTTATTGTTATCAAATTTACACTAATCCTCTCGAGGGCTTAAAAGCGAGCATCCCACAACTTATAGCTAAGCAACTGCCAGTTTTGTGCCGATAAGTCAACAAATATCAGTTTCAATAAAATTATCAAATAATGGTTCCAAATCTATAATATGTTTCGTGAAAGATATTTGTAAGATATTGCATATCCCACCTAATGACAAGGTTCAAATAACATATTGTTTTATAACCACAAAATAGAAGCAAATTATATTTTACTAAAGATTATTTTTTATGG